TCGGCCGGACAAGGCTTGCAGGGCGACAGGGGCTGGTTGTTGGTCTATAGCCTGGGCCTGGAGGAAGGCTGTAAGGGATGGGCTCGGCCTCTCCCCTGCCCGCAGCCAGTGGGTGCGGGCCTCCATGGCATCCTTCCGGCAGTCTTCCCGATGTGCTCGTGCGAGCATTGCCTGGGCTTCGACCAGTTGTTGGAGTGGCTGTTGTGCTGTGGGGGCTGCATCCACCGCTTGCCTTGCCAACTGGACCTGCGGTAACACTTCCCGAGCCCGGGCCCCTGGTCTGAGCTTGCGGTGTTGTGCCGCCTTGTTGAGCTGAAGGGCCAGGGTGCTCAGCCGGCGTTTAAAACCTGGCCACCACGCAATCAGGCCCAAAGGGTTGTCCTCCGCAGGTGGTGCTGTGGCACAATGGCTGGTGATCCATGCCTCCATGCTTGCGGCTAAGTCCTGGTGTGATGTGAAGGCCAGCCGCACTCGTCGGTTCCCTGGGCCCTTGCTCTCTGGTCGGCACGGCAGCAGGTGCATGACCATTGGCTTGTGATCCGACGGTGTTTGCACGGCAATCTCCGTCTTAGCAATGTACGGCAAGGTGCCATGGTCTACATAGATGCGGTCTAGGCGGGAGGCCCCGACGCAGGGAGCTCTGTAGAAGTGGGTGTAGTCACAACTGTGGGGGTGCAGCTGGCGGTGGCTGTCCACCATGGTGGGGCCTGCTGCCCGAAGAAGGTCCACTGTTGGGCCGTCTCCCCGTCGCCCTCCTGGACCCGCTGTGGAGTCCAGCCCTGGGTCTTCCACAAAGTTGAAGTCACCTGCCCAGACCAGCATGGTGTCACTGTTCTCGGCTGCATGCTTGGTTGTGGCTGGCAGCGTGGTTGTGAACAGCTGTTGTCGGAGGGGGTGCACGTGTGCTGAGGTACCCGTGGGGCCATAAATGTTGCAGATGTGGATGCGGTGTCCTCCCCAGCGTAGTATACAGCTGGCAATCTCCCTCGGACCACGGGGATGGGCGGCGGGTTTTCCACGATAGCAGTCAGATCCCGACGGACTAGGATGAGAACTCCTGCTGTGTGGGAAGAGTTGGACCACGAGTGTGCAGCCACTTTCCATCCCCTGGTGTGCATCGCCTGTGATGCCATGTTTAGCTCTTTCTCCAGTCGACTCTGGTCATGGGCATTAGTATGGTGGGTCTCCTGAAGGCACACCACATCAAGTCCCATCTCTGTCCACAGCTTGGCCGCCGCATGTATTTTTGCGGTATGTTTTGCCGTCATGCCTTGCACGTTGTGCGTAGCAATCCGAAGGGGGTGGCCCCTAGTGGCGCCCCGCTGGCGGTTTCCATTGGTTGCTGGCGGCATGTTAGGTTTGTTGGGTATGGCTGACCGAAGAACCCTCTCCGGGTGGGGATTCTGTCTCAACGTCGGGCTGAGTCACCGTGGGGACTTGGAGAATCAGGCTGGAAATTTGGGAGCCTGCCTGGGGCGAACCTGGGTCGCTGGCTTCCTTCTCTGTTGCCTCCGGTCCCTGCCTTGCACCTGCCTCCTCCTCCATAGCGATGTCCTCTACCGTTTTTCCTGTTGTAGCGCCCCCGGTCTTTGCCATTCGATTTTTCCGATTGGCCTGCCATATGTCTCCGCGTTTCTGCTTTCCGGCCTCTCGGTGTCTGGCTTCCCGGGCCTCTTTGGCCTGCCGGGCTAGCTCTGCGCTCTGTCTGCGGGCTGTCCTTGCCGGCTCGGTCAGCTTTTTGAAGTGATCCTTCCGCGCTTGGTCGCGTAGGTCTGGCCTGCGCTGTTTCTTCACTATAGCCATGTGGGTTAGTTGCGCTTTGGCTGCCGTCGCTGTACTCCGGGTCATGGGCCGTGTCATTTGCAGCTGGATCGGCTCCACCTGGGCAAAGAGGGCAGCCGCCTGTGTTTTCGGGGAGCCCATTGTGGTGTTCTTCCCGGCTGCCTGAGTTGGCGGGGGAGATGGCCATTCCCTGTTTGTCTGCGCATTGTTGGCAGGGCCGGCTTGTTCCGCTACCGGTTTCCAAGGCTGTTCCCGGATAGGCGTGAGTTGGATGGCAGCTGCCTTGTGGGGTGTCCCGAAGACAATGGCCACCTGGGGCTGCTTGGGCTGTCCTGGTGGTGGGTTGGCCGCCTCCTGAGCCCTCTCCTCTATCCTGAGGCTCATTGCATCAGGTGCCGTGGTCCGCCTCAGGGGGGGTTTAGTGGCCGCTGCGTCAGGTGCCGTATTTTGCTCCAGAGGGGGGTTCGTGGCCGCTGCGCCAGGTGCCGTGTTTTGCTCCGGGTGGGGGGCCGTGGCCGCTGCGCCAGGTGCCTTGGTTTGCCCTGGGGGGTTCTCCTCCTCATCCCTCAACTCCGCCAGCACTGAGTACGGGTTCCCCTCGTCTGCCAGGTCCGATTCCGCCTGGGTCTGCTCCGCCTCCATTTCCATGTGCGTTGTCTCCAATCCCAGGGCGGAGTGTGTGGGTGCAGTTGGTGGTGTTGGGGGTGGGGCGTCGGCAGCTATGGTGGGGTCGGCTGCCTGGTGTGGTTCTGCAACCACTGTCTCCTGCCTGGCCTCCTGAGGGTCGGGAATGGGGGTCTTCTTACCCCTCTTCTCCTGCCGCATCCACCCTGCGTCCCCGGGGGAACCCCCTGTGTTGTTCCCACGGGGTTGGGTGGCAGGTTTGCTGCCGCTGCCGCCACTGCCGTTGGGCTGGGGAGGAAGGGCTCTGCTGCTGCTGGGCCCTGGCTGCAAGTCTGGGCCACCTTTGCTCTGTGGGGGCGGTGGTGGCCGTGGTGTGGAGGTGGATCCTATCTCCACTGCAGCTGGTGTAGGGATTTGGGCTGCTACCGCAGCCTGTATCCCTGACACCTGCAGCTCCATCACTGGTTCTAGGGATCCCAGGTGGTTAACGGTGAATGCTGGCAGGGGGGGCATTGGCGGTGGCCCTATGATGTTGTGACTTGCCATCTCGGGGGCGTTAGTTCTCCCCGTGGCTGCTGTGGCGGTGGTCCCCCGCTGGTTTCTCGCGATGGCAGCCCATGTGCCATTTACTACCGTGCCAGCATTGCTTCGGCTGGGGCCTGACTCCGGTATCTGCGTCAATTTTGGCTGAGCCCCCTTGCGTGCTGGTGGTAAACAGCCAATTATAGCGGGAGCTGCCTCCAGCGCCAAGGGCACCTTGGTCGCGACCAGGGTCCCAGTGCAGTGGGTACTGTCCCCTGGCGTGCCATACGTATAGGGGAGCTCCGCCGGGAGATTGAAGTTTCCCGCCGGTAGCTTCACTGCCCATTTGTCAGCCTGGAAGGGGCATTTGCAGGGAAAGCCGAATTCCTCCCTCTTCCATTGCCTCCCGCTGACCCTGCTGTACGCCATCGCGAGGAAGGCCGTAACTCCCTGGCGCGTTATGCCCAGCGGAAGTCCCGACACTTCCCACCGACGCGGCACTATCTTATCCAAGCCTTTAACCGTTAGTTCCACGTTTACCGGCTCCTGGCCGGGGTAGAACTCCACTCCGCCTAGCTGTAGGCGCCCCTCCCTGAGAAGCTCGCTGTTGGTGAGCCTTGCCAAGCTGCCCGGTGGCATCAGGACTGAGATCTCCATCGCAACGCGCTTATCCTTCATTGGAAAGATGCGCCGCTTCGTCACTGCGGGCCCTTCCAATGCCTCCAGATCCGCGGATTTTGCCCATAATTTCAACTTAGAAATTATGTGCTCTACAAGTCGCCCATAGCTCTGAGCGTAGACATCTGAAATGTCGGAGCCCGGTGGCCAATGCGCGACCAAATCCCATGTCTCCGGACAGAGCACGAAGAGCCGCTCCGTCGGTGACGCGAGAATGTTAAGTTCGAGAGGAGTAAATTCCTCTCGTTTTACTTTTCTCTGGGTCGTTTGCGGCCTTGTGGCCGTTGCTGTCTTCCGACCAGTTTGAATTTTCGGCCGGTCAGCGGTCTTCGCCGCTCTAGTTTGCAACATTTGTTGCGTCGAATTTAATATGGCATTTAGAAGTTGTAATCAAAATAGCCATAAAGATTTCGGACCGTGGTAGCGGTAGCGGTCAGGGCTCTAGTCGCAGTATGGTGCGGCTAAGTTATGCCCATTTTTATGTATGTATGTTGTTACAGGGTGGTCAACTTCGCCAGCGGCCCCCTTTCCCGGGGCAGTCCCTGCTCTCCCCTGCTAGAGGGGCACCCTAATCCGTCACCCCATCCGACTTCAGAATGTATTCGTTGGGTTCGGCAACTCACCACCAGCATCCAACCAAATCTAGCGGATCAACGGCGCATCAACTTAGTTCCTGGTCAGCTCGCAAGTTGATATTATCACGTCCTACACCGTCCATAAGATGGGGGGCCACCTCCCATTTCATCACTCCTCAAACACCCGAGGAGCCGGCAGGCGGATTTGAACCCGGGTCGACTGGGTCGACTGGGAGCAGAAGTCAGGCCTTAACCTCTGCCAGCCGCCTGCCAGCCGCAGTATTGTTTCCGCTGAGGAGGAAGGTGTCGTTTCCTGCGGGTGCAACGCTTCTTGCACAAATGCTGCCATCAAGCGTCCCCGTTTCTCCTCGGTGGCCCCGCATTGCAGCTGTGTCGCTAGGCGGACCGTCAGGCGTGTGAGTGGGACGGTTGTTGTGCCGCCCGGTATCTGCCATCCGACCCGCTTTAGGATCATAGCCATCGCCTGAGTGCTGTTGGGGGTGCTTGGAGCCGCCATATCCCCCGCCGTTGGCCTCTCTGGCTGCTGCTGTTGGGGTTGCTGCTCATGCGGCTGCGTCTGTAGCTGTTGCTGCGGCTGTTGCTGCTGTTGCGGCTGCGGCTGATGCTGTGTCTGTAGCTGTGGTTGTGTTTGCAGCTGTTGTGGCTGTACCTGCGGCTGTGTGGCAGTATGTATGTATGTATGTATGTATGTATGTATGTATGTATGTATGTATGTATGTATGTATGTATGTATGTATGTATGTATGTATGTATGTATGTGTCTCATGCTGTCTTCGGCAAACGGACGTGCGTGTACGTCAAACCTGCTGTACGTTTACATGATTGGTATCACGACAGCAAGCAAGCTAGAAGACCATACCCCAATCGCCCTGAACACTCAACTCGCCGGGCAGCAGGTAGTTGTGGCCGTACTACGTCTGTAAAAAGCTTTTCCAACATCAATCGATAGACATGTCTATAGCAAAATAGGTAAACCAGCAATAAGTAAATGCAAACTAGAAGACTAGTTGATGCAATTATAACCAATTTGCAGATGAAGGATTCGCCTTTTATAATAAAGATACGAAAATGGTCGTCTATATGCCCCCACCGGAAACAAGATAGGGATGCCTGGGCATGGGCCCCCATTCAAACCGCTGCTCAGCTGCAGGTAGGATCAACTATAATCCGAACAGGCCATCTGAACAGTCCTCCTGCCTCCTGCCACCGCAAGACCGTGGTTTTGAAAAATGGTGAGGGTCTACAGAAATCAATCACCGACCCAAACACAAGAATATAACCCTCAGGCATGTATAAGTACTTGGAGCGTCCCACGCGTGGGGCTGTCCACCACCGTGCGTCGTCTTCGTTATCAGCCTGGGTCATCTAACTATGCGTAGGAAGGGAAGCACGACAGTAACACACGCTTACGCTTACACGCAATCCCGTCACACCAGCCGACTGCTGGCGTCCTCCTCAAATACGTGCGTATACTTGCTGCTCAATGCTGTATATGTTGCATGCACATGCATTCTTTATAATGCTTTAATGGTACGATGCACGTACGGACGTGGCACATGGGCACATAGGGGATACGCTAGCAGAAAGGTCTTTAATAAAAAGCCCGAGGCAGCATTTTTCCGTACTGTATCGATGGTAATTAAAATAAAGCCTGACGCGCACGTATACTCCAGGAGGTCCCCAGAGCCCCAGCCATGCATACATACATACATACATACGCAACAGCTCATTAGGGCTGCTGGTAAATGTAGCTCGCCGCCCATTAAGTTTGACGAGGTAATAAAACCAAAGGTCAGAACCACACCTAGCTGCCTAGCTAAGATGAATTCCGTCAGCAACAAACGCAGCATGGCATCTGCATCTGACCTGAACAATGCTCAATGGGGCAATGGGCAGCCCAAACAACTGTTCAAACTGCAAACCTAACTCTAAGCGAGCGCAGCTTCTTTGCTTGTGCGGAAGGATAATAATGGAAACCCTATCTGAGCCTTAGCTTACCGCCTAGCCCTTTCGGGCTAAACGCGCCGATGATCAGCCATCCATAATTGATGCTCGCAGCTACCCTACCCTACCCTACCCTACCACACACATATACACACATATACACACACACACACACACACACACACACGCGCGCACGCACACACACACACACACCCCGCTGTCCCAGTGGTGACCTAATGAACGTAAAGCAGAGCGCTGCCCAGAACGCCGGGGGTACACAGCGAGGTGTAGATCTATCCAATGAACACTTTCATGAATTTCATTTGCGCAGCAGGTAGTGTGACCGAGCAATCATGTGAGTGTTTGGCTTGACGTCGACGGTCCCAGCCAGAAGTAAATAAAGTAGGACGGACGGACAGTATTACGGGCCCATGCAGACAAGCAATAACGTAACGATGCATGATGCGAATGCGGCATGCGGCATGCTGACTTTAAACCCAAGCACGTATTAGTGCACAGATACTGACTGATTCCACCCTTGGTGTAGCCCATCTCAACCGCTGCGGTTAATGTTAAGGGCTGTATAGGACGATTCTTCCAAAGAATCAGAAGATGCTTATAAGCCAGCACCTGCTGATATCAATGGGATATCTGCCTCTGCCGTCTTCGTAACTGCAGGGAGCGAACGATGGTGGTGAGCGTCGATCTGTATTTATGTATGTCGGTTTATGGGCCTCCCAGCGGCGCCGTACGGAACATGGGGCAGCAGTCCTTGTCGTCATTAAATGGCGTGGCGAAACTGCAAGCAATTTTCACCGGGGCAAGCACAGGGGCAAGTAGGGAATTGAAGCTTTGTAAAGTCGAGCAACATAGTTGTATGTGTTTCGGATGACATACGCTGCAAAGGATCCATCCGACGGCAAGGGAATTACTTGGAAGAGCCAGGTTGCGTGTAGGGACGTAACACTTAAAAAATGAACGCACGCTTCCGCTGTCGTCATGCGTTTTTCATTCAATCAGCCGCAAACAAATAATACCCATATGAGGCAATGGAGCACTCACCATTGGCTTCCAAACGCGCCTAGACAGAGCTCTGCCATGGTCACCGGATTCTTTACAACCACACAAATCTTGGCGCCATCGGCTTGCGTGGTATTCCAGTTAATGTTGGTAGCTGCGTGTGTTGTTGACAGGGTGAGGGAGGCAAGGCATGTGATGCGAATGAGAGGTCAAGATAGGGCGCGGCAGCAGCTCCATGCAGCAGAACGAGAATGTCATCACACCACAGCGCCTGCAGCTACTAAAAGTACTACTTTATCCTGCATACAGTAATGTGCGAGCTGTGTCCTATTTTCTGCTCGGTTCTCGTTTCGCATCCGAAGCCAACGTGCAAAGCGTACTTCAAGGACCAAGCGCGCCTGGGGCGCCCCCGCTGTACACGCGCACATACCTTTGAGCGTATAGCTCCCGGCAGCACCCCAGCTGGACGCGATCGACCGTGGACTACCAACCCTAGGGTAGAGGGTGAAACCCTTGACATACGATCTGAGAACCTCATCTGCGATTAACGAATGGACAAGCGGGAAATCGTTAAAGTTAATATTGGCGTGCAGCGGACGTACACGTGTGATGCACATTCATATGCAACACATGACATGAGACCCAAAGGCGCATGCGTGCAGCTGTACGCGCGAGCCACACAAGGCCGGTCATTTCTCGGCGAAGTAGGTACTTTTGCCGTTGCGGGCGCGGAATGCAGGTGCGGAGCACATTGATTTGTGGTGCAAGCTTGCAGGACTTACTCGCATACCACTCAATCTTCTTGAGGATGTCAACACCCTTACAGGTGCTCTGCGGTTTGCAGAAGGGCGCACGGGGACGATTTATGGGGCGGGAGGAAAGCTGGAGGAAACCGACAAGCATGCCAGCAGGTTTTAATGAGACCTAAGAGGCCCAAGAGGGGATTTCTCTGCCGTGCATCTGGTTTAGATAGCGGATTGTTGTATGCTTTCTTGTCCTTGATTGCTGCAGCAGGCCTATATCATGTAGACATGATGCACCGTGATGGCGCTGCCGTACGTTACATCACAACTACAACTGCTACAGAGAAAGTACCGATCGGCGGATGCAGAGATCCCGTGATATGCCCTCCAGATTACAACACTGTGTGCACTGGTGTAGTACTAGCTGACCGCTGAAAAGGCCTCTTTTTTTTAAGATGCTAGGGCACCGTAGCACGTGTTTGTAGACGATATGCGTGCCGTACTATCTACAACTACTGTAATTGGCTAGGAAAGAGGTCAGGGAGGTGTCTATTCCAGGAAGGATAATGCTCCTAAGCCGAGGGGGTAGGCCATTCGCCGTGGTGACGCCTCCCTTTGTAAAAGCTTTAATGGTCTATAGAGCGCACCATTAGGACATACGGGACATTAGGATATACGATACGGTCCCTAGCTAATACACCAGGGCGAGATCTGTAGACGGCCAAAAATAATTTACAGACATACTATGTGGCTCGTTTGACTCGACTGGTATACGCATGCTGGCGCACATATCAATCTCAGCAAGGCAGAGGAGCATTGCAATACCTAGCAGTGCTGAACTCCTGTGCCCAGCGACCGTGCGCTTAAAACGACAGAACGTGACAGACATCAACCAACAAAATCGCTAGATGCACGCGGCCAGCAGCCGCGGGTGGGCGTTCCTCACACGCACATCCTGGTGAAACCAAGGGCAGGCTTACATTTTTAAGCAATATATACGCTAAATATGTATCCTTTCGAGATTTCCCTAACGAACAAGGTAGCACAGGTGGCTAATGTGTGGACTTACCGGTACAAGCTGGCTCAGTGGGAAAATGCTCATAGGGAAGCAGTACTCGGTGGTGCCGAAATCAGCTTTAAAGCTGGGCTGCGCGAAGTAGCGCGTACCCACCACAAATGGCATAACGCCCTGCCGCATGTCACACCTGCAGCGCACATGTGGCAGCAATGTCACCACCGGAAGTGGACACGTGTATGCACAGCAGCAGGAGAGACATCGATGACGGCTGCAGAGCGCCAGGATATGCTGCTACGGCTATGGCTATGGCTACGGCTACTGCTATACGGCTATTGCTACCGCTACCGCTGCTGCTGCTGCTGATATTGCCTAGGTAGATCTTCAGGGCGTGAGATCCCCGGGCACACAAGCATGTATCGTATGACGCAAGAGACTCACGTGCAGTTGGGATATGGGACTGGTGGCAAAGTGCAGGCGATGGACCTGCTGTCTTGCACGCAGCTGCCCCCATTTGAATCATCACCGGTGATCTCAATGGTCACTTGGTACCCGTCAAGTTCCGGGCTGCAAATGCTGGCGGCCCCCGTAGCCGCGTCGAGCCAGAACAGCACCTGGTCGCTCACGGAGCGAGAGAGCTTCTCTTTGAAAGCGTCTGTGTCATTAACTGGCTGATAAAGGGAGCCACACACAACAGCCTGGGTTTCTGTGCAGCGAGTGTCATTCGGTGCAAATGGAATCCTATAGACGAAGCCAAGGTTTGGATCTTGCTCCAAGGCGTTGATGCTGTCAGCGATCTTCTGCTGGATTGCAGAGCACATTGTGCTGCTGTAGCGGAAGGGTCGGACATCGGGGAAAGGAGCCAGCAGCTGTGCCTTGATGCAGACATCGCAAAATGGCCGGAATCCGAATGCGAAAGGAGGAGAGGGGATTGACGGCGGCGGCAGTGGTGGAGATGGAGGCGGTGGAGATGGTGGAGGCGGTGGAGAAGGTGGAGGCGGTGGAGGTGGTGGAGGCGGTGGAGATGGTGGAGGCGGTGGAGGTGGTGGAGGCGGTGGAGATGGTGGAGGCGGTGGAGATGGTGGAGGCGATGGAGATGGTGGAGGCGGTGGAGGTGGTGGGTAATACTTCGAGGCTCTAGAGGTGGGGCAGCAATCACATGCCGTGTCATACATCGCTGCCGTACAGGTGCCTGCAGAAAAGCCCGGTGACGAGCACAGTTGCTCCAGGGTGGTGCAGCCCTGGCCTCCGCGGTTGGTCCTGAGGGTGATGCACACCTCCGCATTCTGGGCGGTCGTGGTGTCAAGCCCCAGCTGGGTGAGCCGCAGAATGGCGGAGCCAGGTGGGCCGGTCGGGGGCTTGTCGAAGGACGCACCAACCCGAGTGGGTGCTCCGTTCACGGTGGCAACGACTGAAGCCCCGGCCACCAGGCAGCTGCTGGACACGTTGAACTGCGGACGTTGCGGGTGCGGCAAGGCAGAAGCAAGCGTGTTTGAATATACGCAGTGGATGAATGAATAAAAGGACAAATACAAGAGCGGAAGCATCTGGAAATGCGCTCGTTGGAGCATTGCTCACGTCTATGAGGCACAATGCTAGCTTACCTCTATCTTGTACATGTCGGTGTTGCAGCAGGCTCCCGTGCAGGAGCTAGGGTCCCGAACCTGGATTCTAAAGCAGTACTTGTTGCTGCCCACATGTTGCCACACAGGTGCCAGTTGGTATGCCCCGTTTGTGGTTTCACAATTACGAAAGGGAAAGTTCGGGAAGGCCCCTGTTTGATCCCGGTAGACCGTGAAGTCCTCGTCATATTGCGCGACTGCGATAGCAACCCTGAAGGCATTACACGTCAGTAATAAGAGTTAGGGGGTCAATACAGGGTACATTCAGTGCTGATCGGGTAGGTAGGGCACTCAGCTAGCAGACAACAACTTACGGCCATCGTAGCTGCTATATGCGTCTAAATCATTAAAGCAATTTTGACGTTCATGCTGCGGTGGGAAAGTAGTAGAAACCCATCAGACGTAAAGCATCTTCATCACTTACCACGTCAGCGCCAAAGCTGCCGCAACAGCATTCCACATATTACTTGTCTTCGCCATTTGATTAACCTCAATATTAGTGCTGTCAGATACTACTGCAAATGTTGCGGGCTTGTTTATGTAGGGTAGGGTATCCTTACAATCGGGCCTTACCTAATAACTGGCGGGCCAGGCGAGGTTCCGGTCACTTTCCAAGTAGTAGCACGGAGCAGCGTTGGAAAATTAGATTGACATTAAATCTCTTGAAATGATATTTAAATTTTCATTGAAGGTCACAACAGGGTGATGACAACATGGTACAAGAGAAGTGAATGCGGTATTGGTGAAAGCGAGTAAGAAGTGGATGGAGCTGGATATTGCCAGATGATGTTCACGTAGTTATATTGGATGATTCGTAGTTGTGGATCATGCGTGGTTGTAGCTGAGATATGACAATCGAGTTTGACAAGGATGAAAGCGCGGCGTCAAGTATGCGTTGTTCGGACAGACGAGACATTTATTTGTAAAGAATATTTTTTTGATCGCAGATCTGTACAACTGACAGCTTATACTTAAGTAGGGGGAGGCCGTCCGTAAAAGCCGGGTGGGCCTGGGATGTGACTAATAGCCAATATTGTGGCGTCGAGTGGGGATGTAGGCGTTATCTCCCACTCGTCTGGGCTCAGCGCACCTCCCCGGGCTTGCTCATCGGCCATGCTAAGCACAGTGGTGACCGGCGGTCTATGTTGCTAACGACTTGGCCGCTATATCATCGGCAAGTTGCCCGCCCGCCTTCAGCCAAAGCACCTCCTGAAACGTGAGTCCTGGAACGAGGCCCTATGAAATACATTTGATCAGTCACCGATCGGTAACCGGGCCCAACTGGTCGGTAGGGTGGGGCCTCGGCAGGGTTACCTTTACCCAACCGATAGGTCAGGTGGGCTACATGAGGGCTCCCTAAGCAGTGAGGTTACCGGCCGGGAAAAAAACCCGTAATGGATTGTATTGGAAAGTAAGAGTTGTAAGAACTGTAATGTCTAGATGTGCGCATATGGTTTGGTGAAGGAAGTCTGCACTTGGTACGATAAAGTGCCTAGGCAAAAATCTATTAAAAGAAGAGCTTCCACCATTATCAGCGTTCGCATTGCCGAAAATGAGCCCGCCAGTGGCCGGAAACCTTTCCACTAGCAATGATGTGCATCTAACGACAGGCAGGAAGGAAGAGCCCCCGGGTGGTGTGCCCTAACGCGTTCACTATCTTCTCCTCACTAACCGTCTCTCTATGATAGGTCTACGTGTCTAGGTGGCTGGATCAGGCAGACTACAATCTTCAGGTAGCCCACTGGTTTCGAACCCAGAGCGTCCACCCCTGAACCAAGGTATCCTAAACCCCAAGCACATCCCCCAATTATGGACACCGGCAGTAATGTTGTAGCACCCTCCCTCATCCGACGCATCTCACTCCCTGCACATGTAGAGCCCCTGCGTAGAACAGCTATCTGTGATGAGGGGGAGTCCCTGGTATAGAGGCCAATGGGAGCATGTGCCGTTGTTGGGCATTCAGGGGGTGCGGGACAGCGTTGTCATCATCGTTGCGGCATCGGTGGGGTCGTGCCGAGTTGTGAAGACGGGTTCCTGTAATGGGCCACATCATGCAGTAGGTTTCTTGTGGTTTCCGAGGCCGAGGTCATTTTGCCGGGGTGTACGGCATTGTTGTGGGTTGCGGGAAGTTGTACAGGTAAATGCATAGGCCATTTTTATCAACCTTGTTTTATATATCATAAAACAACCGAGCAAGAACCAAATAGTTCAGAAAGAAGTTGAGCAGAGGCCGATGCTCGCCTGGCAAGCACTACGCTCAACGGATAGAGAGAGACAGGAATAAGAAGTGTACAACGGGGCGCCAATAGGCTTTGATAGATAGCGGACGCCCTCGCTCTCAGGCATCAAGTCCCGGACGTGGGCCATATGACCTGGAGTTGCTGGGCTGTTCGCTCTCGTCCCTCCCCCTCAGAAGAAAAACTGTGACCACTATCCTTCTCTCCAGTTCCCTCTCAGTCCAGGTGGTGCAATACCAGAACCCTCGCAACACACTGCGACATCTCAAGCCGTCACATTACGCTGCAAACATTGCCTCATGTTTGTTAGGGGCTAGCACGCTGTTGTCTAGTTTCTGAGTCTACGTTGATATGGTTTGGTCCGTTGCTGATGCAACTGGCTTTCGTATCATTAACCGCCGAGTAGCAGCCGTAGCTACCGGTGCGGAAAACGATGCATGCTCACCAACCTAAATGATGAAGGGTGTGTGGCGAAGTTATATTCATTGTTCTAGAGCTGTTTGTCAACAAATATCAACTTATGTAAAAATTGGTGCTACAGATTACGACGACTGGTCGGATTCCGACACGTACAACACGAGCAACATTCCAACGGATGAAATGCACATTTATATGTGCCCGCGATAAATGGATTTTGGACCTGTTTGTGAAATTTATATTCAACATAAAATGTTTGATTCCGGCCAGTCTCGGAAGCGGCTACCTGCGCCCGCCGTTTACGGTAGACGTACGGCCCAGCAGCAGCACAGCTGCCGCGGTCGGTCGGGTAGATAAATAGCGCAACTATGATACAGAACATCATCAAAGTGACATAGCTCTGACAACATGGCATCCTTTGCAAAGGCAGCTTTCATTTTGGCGACAGCACTGGCGGTTGGCTGGTGCGTTTTCAGTATGGTGCATTCCCATATGCCTGGGCTTTCGCTCTGAGGTTTGATCTATAAGTGTATTTAAGAGCATGCCATATACATGAAGGCTTTCAGTCTTTGCCTTTGCATCGCAAAAGACGTACATGTCCTGTCGCATGCCATAGTGATGAGCCTTTAATATGTAGTAGTACATCAAATATGAGATGTCTAAAAGCATAACTCGATCATGAAACAGCAAGCGTCAACCATGAGCACTGATGTTGCTTGCTGCTTGTCGCCGCTGGTTCCAGGGCGCTCAGCGCTCATGCGCAGGAATACAACGAGTACGATCCCTCAGCTGTCACACCTGGCAGCATCCCCAACTTCCCGTTCCGCAACTGCAACACCACCAACGGCGCGTACCGGCTGGCACCGGTGTGGCGGCCTTCGGGCATCAACACGTACTGCTTCAAGATCCAGGTCAGCCAGGATGCCCTGTCCTGCACTGGCGCCTGCTGCAGCGCCGACTTGCACAAAATTGAGGTGCGCCCACGGCCGGCTGATGGTGTGGGGGATGCGACATGCGGACACATTGCTACAGGTCCTAGGGCCTCGGAAAGCACGGGAAGAGGCTCATTGGCGGTGGCCCACTACCCACTGTCAACGACTATTTTCCAGTCGTTTCAAATGTGTGTGTATGTATGTGTGTGTATGTGTGTGTACGCGCGTGCGCATGATGTCGGCGTTGGGGGCTCCGTTACCATCCTAGCTGCCCAGGGGAGTGGATTTCTAATCAGGGTTTGGAACGCACCCGGCAAGATCTATATAGCTCATTTGCATGTACTGGAGAGAATGGGAACTTCACACCCTCAAAAGCAGAGGGAACATCAAATTGTGATGTTCCCTCCGGCCTCACCTTGCCCTCACTCCATCCTCCCACCACATGCCATCCCGCCATGTCCGCAGTTCAACGTGTCCAGCAGCTGCCTGGTGGCCGGGGCTTCAGTTGTCGCCACCGTGAATGGAGTGCGGACCCGGGTTGGTGCGACCCTGGACAAGGCCCCGGCTGGGCCTGTTGGCTCCGCCGTTCTGCGGCTCACCCAGCTGGGGCTGGACACCACGACCGCCCAGGATGCGGAGGTGTGCCTCACCCTCAAGACCAACCGCGGAGGCCAGGGCTGCACCACCCTGGAGCAACTGTGCTCATCGCCAGGCTTTCCTGCAGGGACATGCACAGCAGCTATGTTCGATGTCGCGTGTGACTGCTGCCCAGTTTCTCAAGCCGGTCAGGCCCTCCCGCCACCGCCACCAGTTATTCCGCCGGTCTTACGCCCTTGTGACGTCTGCATCGCCGCGACCATTGTGCCCCCGGCCAATGATGTGCGACCATACCGCTACGACAGCGCCACCTGCGCCGCCATTCAGCAGAACATCGCCAATGCCATGAACTCTCTCCTGGGAGGCGCCAACATCAACGTCTTCTCACCTTTCGCGCCAAATGCAAGCCAGTGCTTTGACACACAAATCATTACATGTGGCAGGTTCAACGGTTCGGACACTGATGCGTTAGCCACTCTCACGGGAGCGGTGCAGCAGCAGCTTCCCGCCTTCGTCGAAATCGCGTCTGGCGGCAGCGTCTGCAATCCAAAGTTGGAGAAATACACGGTGACGGTCTCCACCATCAACAATGTGGCAGATCAGTGCCTGGACCTCTCGCAGTCGGCTAGTTGCTTCCTGCCTGGCGTTCCATTCCCCAACTGCACGTGAGTCACCCTACTTCATGGCGTCGTCTCTTTTGCGGCGCGGCCGCCCTCCGTAAAGATTTGGGGGCGAGGATGTAGGGCCTAATAACCAAAGCTTCCTCCCGCAATGGATGAACCCATGTTTGGGATCTGGCTAGCGTCTTTGTCGTGTATGCAGAGCTTTGGATGAATGGCTGAAGGCAAAGACACCGCGCTTGCATGGATACCTTGCTCACATGGCTATGTGAAAATATCGGGAACGTTGGGTGAATGTGTGATAGTACTAGTTACCGACCCTGCTGCCGCCTCCGCTCGCCTTCTGACGCGCAGGTGCAACACAACCCAGGGAGTCATGCCGTTCACAGTCTCCCCCACCTGGTATGCACAGCCGGCCAATGTCCGCTGGGGCCGCAACGTCACTGAGTACTGCTTCACCGTCAACACGCTACAGCCAAGTCAGGTCGTGCCGGTGAGGCCAGATAGGTGCATGGCGGACCCGTGGGGTGGTGCTTTGTTTTCTTCCACGCACCCATGCATGCTTGGCTGCATGCCCGATGAGCTCGGTTAGTTGTATCGGGTCTGGACAAGGCACGCGAGCCTGTCTGCTGCGCGTAGCTCACCCAGACAAAGTTAAGAAATTACATGACTGAGGATGCTGCCTC